TTAAAATTGACAAATGATGTTAAAGTTTTAAATAAATGATGTTAAAGTTTTAAATAAAGACCTAAATTTGTTTTCTAAAAATGTGTGTATAGGTTGAAAAAGTCATTATAGTCCTCTCAATATTTATTTATTTATTTATTTAATTTTCAGAACAAGCTGCATCAGGTCATCAAGGATTTATTTATACGTTACACTGCATGTCCATGAAACAGGCTAAAATGAGCTTTCAAGGTGTAGGTCTTAAAGAACAGGAGGTAAAACTACTTGTTTCAGACAGAGGATGAACTGAGGAGCTCTATAAACAACCAGTCACAGTTTTTTAAACTGTGAATCATGCAAATGTACTCTAGCTGACTCACAGAATGAAAATAAAGAAGAAAAGGATGATGATAGGTCTCTTTTTTCCATACACAGAGGCAACAAATCTCCATTCCAAAGCACTTACAAAGACCAAATCGTCCAGTTTTATTTCTAAATGTATGGCTTTGTTAATATATCATTTAGACCTCATGTCCATTTGTACAAACATGATGAACATTTTCTTACCTTATGGCTCAAAACTATGAGTCCCTTTTTGCAACATGCTGAAAATTCTTTGGTCTGGCATCTAAAAGATTGTCCTGACCTGGACAGACACATACTCTTGTGACACAACTTCATTCATTTAAGGTGCACAGAGAAGAGCATTAATCTGAAGACATTAAAGTTCTTTTGCAGCAACTTTTGTGGAATATAGGACTTTATTGTTTAACCCGAATGGTTTGGCTTAGCTTCCATGATTGTTGTCAATTTTTTAAAATTTGCAAAGTTAGGAGGACACAGACAGTTTTTCTTTAGTTGTTTCCTGTTTTATTCTGCTGGCTGATGTCAAGTCTACCTACTTCCTTTTTCTATTTTTCTATTTCTCTGTTGCTTTAGCCACTTCCTGTCTTATTCTGAAGTCTCAGCCAGTCTTACACTTCAGTCAGACGTACTTCCTGCTTGTTTTCAACTGCTTTTTCATCATACCTGTGTTCAATCAGTAATCAATCTCTTCATTTTTGAGGTTTTGTAGACGTGACCGCTAACCACATGATGTTAACTTGTGCACCATTTTTGGACACCTGGCTAAAGCAAAAGTGTCATTCAATGCCCGTTTTCCTCCATCATTTTTCAACTGTTCCTATCATAACAGCCTAAAAGAAACATTTGAAATAATATCAAGAATGTGGAAGCTGGCAGACACGCCAGTGAGCCCCCAGCAACCATCTGTAACTAAGGGAAAATGTATATTCCCCATCTACCTGGCAAAAACTTTGCTGTGATTGATTTTGTTGCTAGCAGATTGCTGTGGCCGTAATTTGAATTGTAGTGATGGGCTTGCCTACAAACACCTGCTCTCTCAGGCGCCGTGAAACTGTGAAAAGTGTGACAGACCAGAAATGGAGAAGGTTTGCCTTCAAAACAAAAGTTGCCTCTTTTGAAGAACGCTGGCTTCTCTTTGAAACTTCTCCATTTTCAGTTCACATTGCACATTATCAAGTTGTGTAACAGTGAGTGATTTGTAGGAAAATATGGAAAAAATACAGGCAAATGGAGGAAGCTTAGGCCTCACTCACACAGACCTAAGGACACAGACCACCCCCTCTCGGTAAACACTGGTTGCTAGGGAGCAGTGTGTATTCCCCAACTGATTGGCAAGTGGTTGCTGGAGGTTTCTGGCAGTGAGACATCACGTGAGAAACCTCCTTAAATTTGCCAGATTGCCTTGTTGCATTCCTCAAACTTCCCAGCCATCATTCCTGATTTTCCAGAGTTTTTTCTTGTTTCCTTGTGTACAGCTGTGGGCTGAACACTTCAGTCCTGTTCACGGTGCGTCCTGCATGTCGTTCCTCCTCCTGGGTTTCACAACTGCTCCAAAATACTTCTGAATTATCAACTTCTTCTTCTTTTGCTATTTTGTGTTTTGTAAGCCTACATTTGCATAAGACCTTTTGTAATGGCAGTGTTTATGGGTTACATAGCCAATAAAAATGGTTAGTTACACCATTACACACCTGCCTTTTAGAAAAAGATACCATCCAACTAATACATACATCAGTCTAATTAGCTATTAGCTATTACATAGCTATCATTAAATAGGTAATAGCTATTACACTTCACACTGTGTGTGTGTGTGTGTGTGTGTGTGTGTGTGTGTGTGTGTGTGTGTGTGTGTGTGTGTGTGTGTGTGTGTGTGTGTGTGTGTGTGTGT